GAGTTATAATCTAGTGCAGAAAACCAACCACATAAACAAGAAACAACTAGCTGTTTTAAGCAACATGTGCAAGATTATAAAAACAGAGTATAATCTTCACAGACAGAGGAAATTGTGTTTAAATGTTGACTCTTGTTTCCAGGCTTTAATTCCTGGAAGTGCAGAGCTTAGTGTTTAGCAAACCTGTAAGGAAGTGCCCGTGTTCTTTGCCTTCATTCCTGCTAATGTATGCAGCAGCACAGATTCCTTCCTCTGCTCTGTGTGCTGCCTCACGCTCTTTTTCTTAACTGGATGTTGATGCAGTGGAGTCTCATCTCTCTAATCATCATAAAAGCTGCTTGAAGCCAATAAGTAACTACGTCAGATATTGTTTCTGTGTCTCCTACGGGGTCCAAAGCAATGTCGTTGCATAAGAACTGAGAGTTAGGCCCCTGCTGTGCACCAGGTCCTGAGGGAGAGGCCACGGTGACAGAGATGGCCATTGTCCCCGCTCTCCTTTGGCAAGCACGTCTTTAGCACGTCCCACATTGGAGGCTGTGTCATCCGAGCTCTGGGTATGCGGCAAGCAGCCCTCCTGGTCTGCACTCATGACATAGTGCTCCATGAGAGGCACCAGCGGGGACTGTGTTTCTTTGCAAAGACTGCTGTACCAAGGCAGCCCAAACTAGGGGAGCTTAAGCAACAGAAATTTACCATCTTGCACTGCAAGGGTTAGAAGCACAACAGCTAGGCGTTCACATAGTTGGTCTCTCCTCAAAGCTGTTAAAGGTGAAATCTGTCCCATTCCTCTTTCCTGGTGGTGTTCAGGTGGTTTGCTGGCAATTTCAGTATTTTTTTATTATTATTAATTTTATTGAGAAACAAATAGCAATGAGATAGTTTCAAAACAGGTTAGTAGGACAGTTACAATAATTAATACATTGCATATTGTTGTCTTCATAGTAGTTATTCATAGTACAAGGTGCAGACATGATATCCTGTCCAAACACTATTTGTACAAAGCTTTCTTCTCATTGAATTAAGAGAAAATAACAGTATATCTATCCTATTTTGTATATACAGATACAAAATAGTCGATTTATATCCCTTTTTTTGTTGTTTTGTCAGAGATGGGTATTCCATTGCCATTTAAATATGGTAGGTGCGTGAATTCAGCAAAATAATCCAATATAGTCCAATAGTGCATAATAATAGTGGGTTATCCGTAGGACTGGCAATGTCAGAAGTTGTTGACTTGAGCCTTTTACTGCTTAGCATATTATTTTCTTTCTTTTTTAAAAAATTTTTATTTATTTATTTTTTTTTGTCCTGTCAGAGGTGAATATTCTATTGGCATCTAAATACTAGAAGTGTTTGAATTCAACTAAACATCTAATACTGTCTAGCAGTCTATAATATTAGTGGGTTATCCTCAGAAGTTGTAGACTTGAGCCTTTTACAGCTCTGCTTAGCATATTAATATGACTTTACTTTTTATACCTCGTAAGCAAACCTGTACTGTAACATCCTGCAACTCAGTGGTGTCCCAAATTTTCTGTTCAAGGAGATTATGAGGCCAGAGAGGAAAGTGATCGACGGTGTAGAGTGCGCCTAAGGAGAGTCACATGGAGAGAAAACATTCTCTCAGGCTTCCACAGAAAGCAAATTGGTCAAGCAACGGCCGTGACTCATCCACATGGCTGACACTGACAAAAGATCTACAAACTGCTATACAGGGTTTCAGGGTAAATCCTGAGGGGATCTGACTGACCTTGTCAGATACAAAAGTTACATTTCTTGTTATATAGGTCTTGCTTTATCTTGGTCTTAACCATCCAGCAGTTAAGTATAAAATCTTAGCATTGTTTTGCTAATGGCATGGCCCCAACTTCTGTCTTCATCTTCACTGGCTGCCCTCCCTGTACGCCTGCCTGTGTCCAAACCTTCCCCTTTTTTCATAAAAACAGAGGACACGTTGGATTAAGGGCACTTACTCCAGAATGACTTCGTGTTAACTAGTCATACCTACAGGGTCCCAATTTCCCAGTAAGGGCACATTCTGAGACATTGGAAGCTAAGAGCTCAAGCTATGAATTTGAGGGAGAAACATAATTTAACTTACAATGCACACAAATAATGAAGTACAACATGACCAGTGCTGAAATAGGGGAAGGAGATGAGTGTGTCCGGGTACGAATGCTTGTGAAATTGTTTTGCCCATGTGAGGACAGCCATTGAAGAAAGTGGGTCAAGTGGCCAAGACAGGGAACAGGTGCTTCATTAAAGGTATCTTTTTCTTCCCTTTTTTTTTTTCTTTTTATGTAGTTAGTACAGTGTTTACAGGGTCTTATCACGTAAATTGGACTCATAGTGATCCTCCTGTTTTCAGCCTCCCAAGCACTGGGATTACAGGTGCATGCCACCACGCCTAGTCTTGGTTGACGTCTCAGCGAACCCCGGGGTGGGGTCAGCAAAGCATGCTGGGAATCAAGCTATCTGGGTGGTCCAAAGGACCTCTGGGAGAATTGCAGAAACTATTATAGGATGAAAACAGAAGGGGGAGCATCTAAAGGAAAGAGACACGAGACTGGAAATGAAGGTAGACTCCAGCCCACAAAGAACCATGTCACAATGGGCGGCCTAACCCAGCAGCATGAGAAGCTAGTCAGGGGAGGAGGATCAAGAGGAGAAACTGCTAGTCCTATGTGTACACTAGAGAGCTCCTTCTGGGAAAAGAGTAAGTGGCCACTGTCATGAGGCTGTACGGCAAGCAGAAGGAAATTAGAAGCCTCTTAGTGAATCTAAGTGACAAGTAATAAGGCTCTGGATAATTCAAGAGCAGTAGGAACGAAAGAGGGGAGATGCACTGCAGTGGGAAGCTTGTGAGGAAAATGAGCTCCGAAGAACGTCTCAGAGTAGCTTCCTTGTGAGTAGGAACATATAGATGAAGCAGGTAAGGAAGCCAGGAGCCACACCTAAACGAGGAGGAGAGGGGAGCGTACTACGGGAAGGGAGGCACAGGGACTGAAGGCACATCTGGAGGACAGCTGCATGTGACTGGCCAATCCGGCCGTCAGGATTTCAGCGGTTGTCTCCAGCCATACCACCCTGAATGCACCCAATCTTGTCTGATCTTGGAAGCTAAGCAGGGTCGAGCCTGGTTAGGACTTGGTATGGGAGGATTTCTGCTGTTACCCCCAATTTCATTTACTCTCTAGTTTCAGAAAGTTTGTTTGGATTCCAGGGTCAGATGAAACAGTCTGCAAAGAAGGTGCAACCCCATGAGTTGGGGACAACTGAAGTCGTAGGACTGGTAACATCGTCACACCCATATTTTTGCCAGTCCAGAGACAAAACCGTGCAAGCCAGTTGATTGTTAAAGACACAGCAACCTGGTTCAACGCCTGGCTTCTTGATCTAGTGGTAGTGGTGCTGAATAAAACACTCCATAAGTTGCAAAGTTTCTCAGAAACTAGAGCACCAGTTAAAATGTAATAATGTAGTGTAAGAGGGAGGAGGACCGGTACCCACCACAGGAAGGTAGACGGGTGAAATAACCAGGCAGGAGGCTCCTGATGAGATTCCTCTCATTCAACACCCAGCAGGATGCAGCGCTTCCGGGATCGGATTTGGATTCTCATATATTCCCAGGTCATTAAATAGAGGGGCCAAGAGTTCAGGGCCCCAACCTCCTCCTCCAGAGGAAAATGTGCCGGGAGATTATAAATTACCTCATAGACTCTTAGGAGAAAGCCTAAATATGTCCTCCCGCGCTCACTGGGTAGACGACTTTCACACCAAATGCAACCCAGAAGTTCGAAAGGAGGTCATCTGGGGCCTCTCCTTCCTTCAATGCAAGAACAATTTCCTCTTTAAAAACACAGGCAGAATCGCAAGCAAAAGCCATCCAAACAGGAAATCGAAATTTTAGGTAAAACTGGTGCCTTCTCTTTAAAGGTCAAGCCTTTTCATACACCAAGTGCGTGTTTCCTGGGCGGCTAACTGCCCGCTCCAAGCTCCAGCCTTAAGGGCTGTAGTTGGCCCTGGGGAGGTGCGCTCCCCAACACAAACAAACACACACGCCTCTGGCAAGGTTTGCAGGAGAAAGGCTTTTAATGGATTGTGATGTCATTTTGCAAAAAAATAAAAATGGAATCAAAGGACTCAGGGCTCCCTCCCCATTGCTTGGGTCTCCCTACCCGGCCCCAAGCGTGGCCTGGGCCCTGAGCCTAGAGCCCAGGGTGAGGGGGATGGGCGCGAGGGGGGCGGGGTGGTCAGGTGAAAGCTTTGAGCAGGCGGCGGAGTCGGGAGTGGCCGCAGGCTGCAGCGCAAAGAGGGAGGCAGGTGCCAGCTGCGAGTGGGCGGAGGTGCGGGGGGCGCGGGCCGGGCGGGAGAGCGCCCGCGTGGCCTCCTCCTCTGGGAGAGCCGGAGCGCAAGCGAGCTCGCCCCGAGGCACCCCTGCCCCGCCAAAGCTCCGCTCCCACCCTCAGCGCCTGCCCGGTACCTGG